GCTTGACAGATCCTTAGGAGAGGAATTGTGAAATGAGTACAGAGTTTTGATTTTGAAACATAAAAAATATTTTGACAGCGAGTTTTAGGATTTATTGCAAAATAATGTGAATTTATTTTATGCCACCATTTTAAGTCAGTATGATAGTAAATAAAATATTATGTCTATTTTACCATAAATTTTAGAAACAGAAGACAATGTATAATACAGATGCACTGTCAAATAATACTGTTAAGAAATCTGTACCAGAAAATTAAGCTGAACTTGATTAAATGGCTATTTTGGAATTTGAACACGAGTGCTAACATTCTGAGGTTATTAAAGTAAAATTTCTTATTCTATGTAAAAACAAACAACTGCCATTTTACAGTACCAGAGTAATGGAGTCTAACAGATTTCCATATCAATTTTATATTATCTTGTGCATAATATTCACATAGAAATTGTCTTGAATAAAGACATAAATAAATCCACTTTAAGGTTGATATTAATATTCAATGTAATTGGCATTATATTTTTTCAATTCTGTTTAGTGAAGTATTAATTTATTGAGTGTAGCTACTGTGTTTCACTATGTAGGTTACTTCTATAGAATGTATAAAATGTAGCACAAACTAATCAATAGAAATCAAGTGAAAAAGAACATCTTATATTTAAAATATTTAAAGAATATAAAGCAATTAATATGTATTTAATAGGCAAACATAGCTTGAATATTACAGAGAGCAAAATTGAAACGAGAAATGTGATTAGATAAGTGATCCAAGAGGATATTCAAAGAGGAATTATCAGTCAATAGCACAAAGTGTTCGGTGGAAAGTGTAAGTTGATGTCACATTGCAGTGACAATATGAAATGTTTGCAGTTAACTTGGTTGAAATTTGGAAATTACTGAATGGTTTTGAGAAAATTAAAGGCATGAATGGAACTGTATTTTACTAATAGTAGTTAGGTAGTTTCTTACAGTATAGTTTAGAGAATAGAATGTCAGTCATGCATATTAATTGAAAAAACTGTGAAAGGGAGTCAGATTCTGAACCAGGCTGACAGAAACTCATAGGAAGAAGATGAAAATCTAAAGTAATATTTTTGATTGGTGTATAATTTCATATAATCCCATTTAACATTTAGAACAACTCTGCAAAGTGCTTGCTGTAATTATTAGCATTAGTGAAAAAGAATCTATGTGATAAATCAATTCATTTAGGATCAGAGACCTAATTTTTGCAGATCCACAACGTTTAGCTTAGTGTTTTAATAAAAACTCATGGTGCTTGCTTCAGCAACACATATACTAAATAAAAACTAATGGTCTTTTCCTCATAGCACACTTCAAGAGCCACTCTTTAGTAAAAATGATACATGACTTGAAAACAAATTTTGGAGCATAAAGGAAGGAGTACCAACTAATGTTTACCTTTGGAGAAACAAAAAGTGAGATAGTGTTTGACATACTGAGTTAAAAGTGACACAAATCTTTCTGTTGGTGTCAAACTGGATACCTGAAATCTGAGTTGACACTTGCCTGTAATCTCAGCATTCTGGGAGTTTGAGACAGAAGGATCCCAACTTCAAGCTCAGTCTGTGTAAGTGGGTGATTTAGTGAGACATTGTTAAAAAAAAAAAAAAAACATTTGATTTCATATGCATTTGAATGATAGCTGATTATAACAGTGAGTAAATTTCCAAGAGAAAAGAGGTAGCCAAATATACAATTTTTAATATACTGGCTCTTAGGAAAGTGAAGAATTCATGCATTGACATGGGAAAAACAGAGAGAAATACTGAGGTGGGGGATGGAACTCAGAGAGGAGACAAACTCAGGTGGGAAGACAGAAAACAATATTAAAACAAAAAGATTTGATTCCAGGAAGAGGAAGTCATACACAGTGCACATATACAATCTGTATCATCATAAACAGAAATTGTTCCTATTGAATTTTAATGGACATTTCAATATATGCACTTAGAAATATTGATTTAAATCAGAAGTTTTCAATTTTTTTTTTAGCTGTGATTTTAATGTGTGGGAATAGTGTGTAAAACTTATCCAGTAAGCACTTGAAATGTATCTCCAAGTGTGCAAAAGTATTTCTAACAATGATCTTTAGCATCCTAATTATTTTATGAGTCCATACTTAATATGAATATTTCTTTGGAAGAAATGATGTGGCTGTTATATTGTACTATGCTGTGGGTGTTATCTGACATAATATTCATTTTGAATTTTCCTTAGTATTTATTCTAAGTATACTGTGATAGGAAAGGAATAATTGAAAATTGGGTAATCAGAGTTTACCTTGTTTTTGAGATTTTCGATTTTCAAATTTCATTCACTAATTGATTTTAATGTCATCCTAACTTTAAACTCTACCTGAGATATAGTTTTTATTTAAATTAAAGATAACAATGTACCTAAGCACAATACATTATAAATACTTTGTACACTGAACTGATGCCTGAATTTGAATATTAAGTACAATTTACTTGTTAAAATATATATATATATGCATACATTCTCTTACTATATCTGATATATGTCCCTAGAACTCATATCACCAAGTGCAATGAACTTACCTCGTGCCTCTATCCTGGTTTCTAATATAGTTCGCCAGTGAAAGGAATAAAGTTTCCTTGAAGAAATAGATGCTCTACATAAGATGAACTTAGGAGCCTGTTGTAGTAATAGTAAGGGAATAATTAAAATAATCCCCAAATAGTTGAATATGTTAAAGTGATACAGCAGCCAATCATAAAAGTTCCTACCTACTAAATATAGAATAATTTAAGCAAGAGAATGATTAAGTATTATTGGTTTATAAAACAAAATATAAAATAAAACTCTGAGCTGATAGTGATATAAATAAATCATGTGTGTATAATCTCTATAATTCTGTTACTGCTTTAGCAAACAATATTAATATAAAAATACTGATTCAAGACAATTTTTTTAAAGTTTATGAAAATAATGATCTTTGTCGCTGAGAGTATCTTAGCACAAGCTTTAATATTTGTACATAGCACTTTAATGTATATTATTTCACTTAATACTGTTAAGAGTTCTGTGGCATAAGAATTATTGTTGGTTTTATTAATATTTTCTTCCCTAATTTGGACCTGAAAATTGATGCTTAGTAAGTGCTATGGCTGAAACCATGAGCCAAAATAAGATTTACCCCTGTAACTTGATTTTGTCATAGCAACAACATGCTAACACAGAAATACAAAATGACTTGTCCAAGGTCACCCAACAAATAGGGAGCAAGGTTTGAACACAAATTTAAGGATTTTGACTTCATATCATAAGTTCTTTTCATTAGTTTGCTATTACCATTGTCCCATAATGTAGTTAATATACAAAGAAGCAAAGAGTTGGATATTTTCTAATGCAGTGGATTCTACTAACATATCTGGCATAACATTATGATCACTAAAACGGGTGTGACAGAATTGAGATTTATAAGTTGTATGTGATTATAAGGTCAAATTAGGTATTAATGGACTAGCTTTCTTGGTACTACTGTGGTGGTTTATTTGGGATTTTTTTGTTATATTTTCTTTAGATAACATCAAATGCTAGATTATATTTTTGTTTATTTTTATACCTTTGTATTAATATATTTGTTGTAGTTTGAATGTTATATTTTTATATATTTATATCATGGGTACAATTATCTTATTTTTTTGAATTAACAGAAGACAAAGTTGTTTCTGCATTTTGAAACATACTGGATTTCTGTGTTGTTCATAATTATAGGGTTTTAATACCATAAAATTAGCATTTAGATTATAAAATGTTTCAGTACCTAATACATTCCATATGTTTAGGTAAAATAATCTCATATTACCTGTTATTTGAAGGTGTTTTTTTTTTTAGCCATGTTAGCCTGAAGAAAAATCAAAGAATAAAATTTTTCCTGGTCATAAGCTGCCAAATCTATTACTCCTTTAGAAACTGTTCTGCTTTGCTTTGATAGTCATGATGTTAAACAAGATAAATAGATGCTGAATGTTTGATTGGTATAATTAATGTGAACTAAATTAATAATCTTTATTAATGAATTTTACAAAGATTCTCTAAAGGTTAGGATGTTTCATAGAGGAATCATGTATTTGAGTTAACAGAGAGAGTGATGCCACGTTGGGCCATTTATTCTCAAAAGTGCCTAAACCAAGTTAGGGATATATAAACTTAAATTTAATCCTATCTTGTGGTCAGAAATGATGACTGGAAGCAAAACAGGTAACAAGTCCTGTATTTATATATAATCATGCAAATATGAAATTTTTAAACTTTCACATATTATAAGCCTGTATGTGTGTTTGTCAGCATTTAAATTCTAAATGCATGATATTAAAAATGCACGATGGCAATTTTCATTATTTTAAATAGAAGTGCCATCACATTTTCCTAAAAAGTAAAAACCAAAAAGTGGAAATGTGTAGCTTTTTCCTGATATATTGTCATATTGTAATAAATTCCTGACATATCATAAATTTGTCATATTCTTTCTGCCATATTATAAATTAAATTGCATAATTATCAGATTAGATATTTTTTCAAGAAATATTTCTGATATGTAATGAGTTCCTCAAGGAGATGTTTAAGAAACAGTCAAAATGCAGTTATTTTGAAGCAGGACATTATGCATAAAGACATAATGTTGTGATATCTATAAGAATAAAAAAAGAATTTGGTATTTTTAATTCTATGCTTGAATATATAGAAATTATTACTAGGGTGAATCATAAATTGTTATAATTCTTCTTGTAATATAAATACTAATCATGACTCTCACTATACTGGAAGATTAGCCAGCAATCAGTAGCAAGTATTTCAGATTAGGGAGTAAATTCTTATTTATTTTAATCCATGATGATGTTTTTAGAAATCAAAGTGCATAAATTTCCACTAGATGTGTACATACACTTGGGAAAATGATCACAGCTTTTAAAAAATGATGTGATGGACCATATTGCCATTCTTAATTCCCTTTCAGATTATATACACAACATCCCGATGAAGTAAATACTCCCAGGTCTGAAGAGCATTTCCATGCCATAAATCATGCAGAGAAAACTCTCCATAAAATGGAGAACTACTTGAAAGAGAAAAAACTGTGTGATGTGTTGCTCATTGCTGGACATCTTCGAATTCCAGCTCACCGGTAAATATCCTTACACAGAATATTTGGACGATAGAAAGTATAAATGATGGAAAATAAGTACACAGATAAATTGGAATATTGAGTGAATAGATTTTTTCTATATTGTAAAAGCATTAATGTATATGATCCATTTTTCTGTACTACATTTAGAACAGCCATGTTTTGCAGAAATTGGTAAAATAATGATAACTCTCCAAAAACAGATCAATTTATTTCTTTAACCTTTCTAAATTCACTACACTTTATTGAATTGTGAAAAATTTAAGCAAAAAGTAGAGTATGTAATCACACAAACTTAGTGAATACATTGTATGCTTTCAGTAAGATTATCGATGTATGTAAATATGCATGATCTTTCTTCTTTGTAGGTTGGTTCTTAGTGCAGTGTCTGATTACTTTGCTGCAATGTTTACTAATGATGTGCTTGAAGCCAACCAAGAAGAGGTCAGGATGGAAGGGGTAGATCCAAATGCACTTAAATCATTGGTGCAATATGCTTACACAGGTATGTAGTGGATATGCGATAAACCACAAACATCTAACATTAAAAAACATATATTATTTTTTACCTTCTACAAATAAAGCAAGTGCAAGATAAATAAGTAACTATCCTGCGGTTTTGGGAAAGCAGAGTTATGAGTCCAGCTCAATAGAATAAAAGAACAAGATATAAATAATATGCTGTAAAATAGTTTGCCATGATAGAAGAGTTATTTTAACATGACAGTACAAAAACACATGGATCTTGGATAAGGTGTGAATGCTCCGGCTTTTAAAGGTGAATGAAAGTGGAATTTTCTAATTTTATAGGACAGATTTAGTCTCTTCCCTTAACATAGTGAGGTCATACTGATTCAAACTATAAAACAAAAGGAAAAAGAACAATTTTATAATAATTATTTAATTTTTAAGATACCATAGATTTAATTTTTAATTTTATGGACACATATTTGCAATACACAGTGACTACATTCATTTTGGTACATTGAATATCTTAATTATTTTTAATATTTCTTTCATGTCTCCTTTCTCCTCCTGAACTGCATCTCTTTATCCCTGTCTCTTTTGAAAAAGATCTATCTCCCTCCTTTCCATTATCTTTTATTTCACTCTTTGTTTATACTTTGGGTTTGTCATATAAGAAAACCCATAAAATATTTCAGTTTGTGTATGTGCTTTATCTTACCTTTATGATTTTAATGTGCATCCAGTTTCATACAAATGAAATAAATTTGCTCTCCTTTATGGCAGACTAGAGTTCCCTTGTGCAAAAATACCACATTTTTTCCTCATTGACTTTATTGATACATTTTAGGTCTACAGTAAAATACCACATTTTTAATCGATTGTTGATGGTCATGTATATCACTTCCAAGATTTAGCTGTTACGAATTATGCTACTAAAAACATGCAATTGCATGTATTATTGTAACATGGTATCTTTAACTCTTTCATGAAGATTCCTAGAAGGAAAAAAGATCCCTATTATTTGAATACATTTATTTCATTTATATACTCTTCTAAGACCTAAAATATTCCCAATTTTTTCCAGAATTTTTTTCCGAACATATTTACTTGTACTGTCACTAAAAGAGCTTTGAAAAATTATGTGATCTTTTTATATTTTTCTCCTAAATGATTAGATTTTTTTTCTTTCAAGTAGTTGTAAAGTTTAAAATATCTAATTCAATTTAAACAGTTATAACTTTTAAAATATTGCTTTAATTTGCACTTTAAGTATATCCACTTAAATCTAAACATTATAACTATGTAAAACACCATCATTTTAAAATCACATTAATATGACAGTTCCTTAAGTTAAACATGTCCTTTATAACAACCATATCAACTTCTAAGTATGTACCCAAGAGAAGTGAAAACATATCTTCTCAAAAATGTATGCACATATGTTTGTATCAGTATTATTCATAATAATCAAGTAATATAAACAACCAAAACGTTTATAAATTGAGAAATTCCTACATTACTTTTCATGTGAGCATACTGTCAGTTATTTTTTTCTCATTGAGTTTATTGGTACTTTTTGGGTATACAGTAGAGTTACATGCATCATTGGGATTTTGTACCTTTACACGGCAGGTCTTCATTCTCATTTTTCCCCTATAACCCTCTCCTCCCCTCACCCCCTCCTCCCTTTCCTATTTACAAAAACTTTATTTCCACTTTGTTATTTTCTCATATTTGTTATTTTCCCTTATTTCCTTTTCCCTACTCTTCCCACTTTCCCTACAACTTTAGCCCATTTCTTCCTATTTCACATTATCAATTATACAATTTGGATTTTATGTATACTTTTAGTTTTTCACACCAGAGGAAACGATTCGGTATTTACACATGTGTGACTTATTTATTTCACTTATGAGTACGGCCTCAATATATAGGCAATAAAATTGAATGATGGATGAACTTTTGAAACATGGATTAATTTGAATATTTCATGACAAGAGAAACAAACATATCACAGAAAACAACTTTTTGTATAAAACATCCAAACTAAGGGAAATCATGGAGATGGAAAGTGGTTAGTGGTTATAAGAGTATAGGGAAAATTGGGAGTGAAGGGAGGGCATGAACAAGGGGAAAAAATGAGAACCAAGACCTGTCATGAAAAGGTACAAGATCCCAATGATGAGTGTAACTGTACTGTATACCTAAAATGTACCAATAAACTCAATGAAGAAAAAAAAAATTGGGAGCAACTGTCAACAGGTGTTGATTGTACTTCTCTTAGTTTAACAAGACATTGGCAGTTCTCTTCTTTCAAATTTCAGGATCATAAACAATACAAGAAAATGTGTAGATGGATGGAACCTCTTTACAAAATATTCTACACAATGATCTAAGTAGACAGCATCTTACAATATGTATTACTATGTTCTCTGTTGTTCTGCAACCCTATAGGTCACATACTAAGGTATTTTAGAAAGAAAAACTTTAAAGGAATTGTTTATAGGCTATATTAGCTATCTGAAACATTGTTCATAACTTTTCTACATTTTGGCTAAAATAATAAAGAATAGGCATTTATCATAAAATAATGTGTCGTGTGGGGAATGAATCATCAGTAATGCTTCCTCTAAAAATAATATCACTATACATCATTATAAAATATATGACTTGAGTTGCTTCTGAACCCATTTCTAAAAATTAATTGATGGGGCTGTGGATTTGGCTCAGTGGTTCTGCTGCCTGCCTCGCAAGCACAAGGGCCCGAGTTCGATCCCCCTTAAAAAAAAAAATTCATTGATGGTATGTCAAGTATAGCCCATTTTCTAAATTCATATTTTATTTTTAGTGAATGTTTACAATGCCTATTAGTTTCATGCATATTTGGGAACTGGTATATATATGTAACATCTTTATTATTTTCAATTCCTGTTATTCCCATCTATACCTTTCCTCCTTTCCTTCTTCTCGATTCTTTTACCTATCTCCAAAAGTGTTTCTTTTGTTTCCTACCAGGTCTCCTTTATTTTACTCTTTTGTTTATTAATATTTTAGTTTTCTCATATATACGAAACTATACTTTATTTAACTTTTTAGGTCGGACATAGCATTATGTTCTCTAGTTCCATCTATTTTCCTGAAAATGTCATGATTTTATTCTTTCTTATGGTAGAATAATATTCATATATACAGAGTCTGCCAAAAACATATACAAAGTTCAGGAAATGAATGGCATAAATATTTTAATACCAAATTTATTAATACATCATGTATTAATTACATATATGTAATTGGCCTCCACAATTACAAGAGGTGCTCAAAATGGTGGCTATTTTCTTCCAGACATTTATTAGTATGGTGAACTGCAGTTTGAGTAATCTTGGTCATTGAGATTGCTGCATGTGCATTTTCAACTTCTCTAAGAGCTGGCAATGCAGTTGATTTTCTTCCATATATGACATCTCCCAATGGGCCACATAGGAGGGTAACATCATCTGTTGAAAAACATCATACTATTTTTCTTTTTCTAAAGTGTGTATACATTGTTGGATATATATTATCAGTTTGTCTACTGATGTCTATTGATGAGCATCTATGCTATTTCTAGAGTTTGACTATTGTAAATTGCGCTACTATAAATATGTGTATACGTGTTATCACCATAGTGTGATGTCTTTATCTCTTTGGAGAATGTGCCTAGGAGAGATCTAGCTAGTCAAATGGAATTTTGTTTCTCTTTATTTATTTTTTGGTATCAAGAATAGAACTCAGGTCCTTTCACTTGCAAGTCAGGTGGTATAACAACTGACCTAAATCCCCAGCCTTCAAATGGAATTTCCCATTTTAGCTTTGTTTTTATACTAAAGCAAATAGTTATTTAAATAATTTTTCTTTTGTGAACTCTTTTCAACATTATCTTCATTTTAAGGTGCTGACAGGTGTCAATTTCACACATAATATTTGGGAAATGACTTAATTATCAGATGATGAATGTATATATAATAATAAGGACATTAAAAAGTTCGACATTATACATATTTACCAGGATCATTAATGCCACACAAATGACAGTTATGTGTATGGCCAACTGTAAGATCCTACATAGTGTAATGTTCCTTGAATAATAATGCAAACAGTTATTTCTAGATTTCTTTAGGTGTGTCTGATGTTGAAATTTTTATTTAAGATGATGTTTTTATGAATGTGGGTAATTAAAATTTATGAATGTGTAAATTAAGAAAAAATTCACAATAAAAGACTACTATTAGTCACCACAAAATATTCTCCCTCACTTTGAATACATTTATACCATCATCATTGCCACTTTGTGAAGCATCTTTCATGTCTTTAGAAAGTGTGGTCAGAAATACCACTGCTTTTGAGTGCCATTCAATGGAAAGGTGGGTTTATAAAAGCACTGTGGTGTATCCTCACCAGATCTGATTCTGAGATTTCTGGCTCTTCCTCAAAGTTAAAAAGACGATCAAAGGAAAATATTTTGAATGAACTGATGACATTGAGGCAACCATCACTATAGAAAGAGATAAAAGAGGACTTTCAGAAATGCTTCAGAAAGTACTAAGAACCATGAGGATAAGTGTATTCAAAGTATGGAAGAGTACTTTGATGTTGATTAATTACATGTGCCTTTCATTTGTTTCTAAAAACCTTTAATATAATTCTCTGTTAAGCCTTAAACTTAGTGAAATAAATGATGTAAGTTTCAAATCCAGGTTTAAGTATTTTTACCCTCTTATTACTTTGTTCAGAATTTTTTTTAAATTCTTCATAAAATAAACAAGTTATTGTATATTGTAACGATAATACTCACTGTTCATTTGGTGCAGTATTTTTTCAGATGGCAAAGTTAAATTTATTTGTCTTTCCTGAATGTCCTTTTATGACTAAATAATGGCTTTTTCCAAGGATAACAAAAATGTCTTCAACATTTTATTTTTCAAAGTTTAGAACAAATGTCAAATCAGGAACCATTATAGCACTTGACAATATAGGTTTTATAACTAGATTCCATAGTTTTCTTCAATTTTGTCATATAATATTATAAATCATTTTTATCAAAGTAAATAATTTTCAATATCAACTCTTTTCATAAGTAGCATTCTAAAAAGGATAACCTCAGTAATTTTTTCCTAATATACTCTGTTCCCCTTCAGCCTTTTTATTGGTGTTTATACACAAAATCTCTTGTGTGCTTCAGGTTCAATGTATATTTCCACATTAGCTACTGTGCTCTAAAATGTATAGCCTTACTAAAGATGGAAATGGAAAATTTGAATTAACTAGTATAGTTATATGTTACTTTGTAAGATATATAAAAACTGCTTACCTTTTCAAACCTTTTAGGTGCTCTGCAATTGAAAGAAGAGACTATTGAAAATTTACTGGCTGCAGCTTGTCTCCTGCAGTTGACACAAGTCATTGAAGTCTGCTCCAGTTTCCTAATAAAGCAGCTCCATCCTTCAAACTGCTTAGGAATTCGATCATTTGGAGATACTCAGGGATGTACAGAGCTCTTGAATATAGCACATAAATACACTATGGTAAAATCAATTTTTTTAATTTTTAATTAGCTTGTAGTATCAATATATGAATACTGGGAAAAATTTAAAGGCAAAATAAAAATATAATTTTCAATCATTTCTGCAATCAAAAAGGTTTGACTAAATACCAGAACTTGAGAAAATAAGCATACCACTAAAAAGTAAATTGTGCAAGGATATAGAGCAAGTTGGACATATAGTATTAAGAAAAATGTCAGTTCTCTGTTGTGTTAGAATAATTAGAAATTTAGTCTGTAAAATTGTAGAAATTACTGATTTCTAAGGTAAGTAAAATCTCATGAAGCAAGGAAAATGCTAAAATTAATGGACCAATATTAATTGGAAATGTTAAGAACTGCAGAAATTTGTAACTTAAACGATAATAGGAATTGACTATGTCAATAAAAAGTGCACTGTAGTTAAAAACATTTCACAATTCAGTGTTTCAATTTAAATCATATTAAAGTTCTCACCTCAAGTAATATTTATACTGGACAAAGTGAATATGTCAGTAAGTGGCAATTATATATTATTTTTAAAAAATAATTTTATTGGTACATTTAATATATACAATAAAGTGATATTCATTGTTGGAAATTTGTACCTTCAGTTAATCAAACTTGGCTCTTACTGTTCCCCATCCCTCTGCCCTCTCTTCAAACCCTCCCTTCCTCCTGATCTACAAAGACTTTGTTTTCTTTTTTTTCATTTTTCATAATAATTCCATTCCCTTCTTTTCTTTCCCCTACCCTTCCCATTTCCCCTTTCCCTTTGTCCCTTTTTTACCTATTTCACATTGTCCGTTATGCCATTTTGTCCTTATTTACACTTTCAGTTTCTCACACTAGAAAAACTATTTGGTATTTATATATGTGTCCTAATTATCTCGCTTAAGAGTATCACCTGCATATGCATCTACTTAGCTATACATGTCTCTAATTTCTCATTTTTGTGGCTGAGTAGTATTCCATTTTATAAAGAAAACCATATTTTCTCTATCCAGTCTGTACTTGATGGGCAGTTGGGCTGCTTCCTAGTTTTAGCTATTACAAATTGTGCTGCTATGAGCATGGGTGCATGTGTATCACTGTGGTATGATTCTTTTAATTCTTTAGGGAAGATACCCAACAGGGGAATAGTTGAGTCAAATGGAACTTTCAATCCTAGTTCTTTCAGCTCAATCCATAATGCTTTCCACAGTGATTGCATCAGTCTACACTCCCACCAGCAGTGGAACGGTGTTCATCTTTCCCCACAGCCCTGCTAGCATTTGTTATTGGTTGACTTCAGGGTAGCACCCATTTTTTTCTGGAGTGAGGTGGAATCAAAACATTGTTTTCATATTCATTTCTCAAATGACCAGTGATGTTGAACATTTTTTACTGTGTTTAATTTCTATTTCTACTTTTTTGTCTGAGAAATGTCTGTTCATTTCAGATTCCCATTTTAAGATTGGGTCTTCCAATTTAGGAGGTCTGATTTTTAAAGTTCTATATATATATTCTAGATAGTAGACCTTTGAGGAACACCTGGTGAAAAGCTCTTCACACACATTGTGGCTTGTCTCTTCAAGCTGTTGGTATTTTTTCTTGCTGTGCAGAAGCTTTTTAATAAGAAGACAACAAACTTGATGATTGTTTTTCTCTCTTTGATTTTATTGGTACATTTTAGGTATACAGTACCATTACATTCATCATTGGGATCTTGTGCCTTTACATGACAGGTCTTGGTTCTCATTTTTTATCCTTGTCCCTGCCCTCCCTTCACCTCTTCTCCCCTCCCCATTTACAAACACTTTATTTCCATTTTTTCATTTTCTCATATATTTTTCCCTTATTACCTTTCCTTTACCCTTCCCACTTTCCCTACACATTTAGCCCCTTACTTCCTATTTCACATTGTCAGTTATATCATTAGGATCTTATGTTCTATTACAGTTTTTCACACCAGAGAATCTATTCAGCATTTACACATATGTGACTCATTTATTTCACTTAGGAGTATATCCCCAATATATATCCATTTTCCTATGAATGAATCTAATTTATCATTCTTTATGGCTGAGTAGTATTCAGTTTCATAGAAAAACCACATCTTCTTTATCCAGTCTCCAACTGATGGGCACATGGGCTGTTTCCAAGTTTTAGCTATTACAAATTGTGCCACTATAAACATAGGTGCCCATATATCAAACCAAGTTACTGATTATCTGTAGTAGCTCATGGGCAACTTAAGTTTTGTTCATAATATCTTTTCCTACAACAACGTCCTCAAGAATTCTACCTAACCACTCTTCCAGCCATGTTAGAATTTCTGTTTTAATATTTAGATCTTTAATCCAATCAGAGTTTGATTTAGTGCATGGTGAGAGATATAGGTCTAGTTTTAGTCTTTGGCAAGTTGAAACCCGGTTTTTCCAACACCACGTATTAAAAAGGCTATCTTTCCTCTAGTGAGAGTATTTGGCTCCTTTGTCAAAGATGAGGTGACTTTAGTGTGTCTGGAGCTGTTTCTGGATCTTCAAATCCATTCCACTGGTCCTCAGTTCTGTTTCTTTTCCAGTACCATGCACTTTTTATCACATCGCCTTTGTAGTATAGTTTCAAATTGGTGATTGTGATACCATCTACCTTCTCTTTGATGCCTAAAATTGTCTTTGCTGTTCTAGGTCTCTTCTTGGTCCAAATGAATTTTTGATTGTTTTCTCAAGGTCTGTAAAGTATGCTGCTGGTATTTCTTTTTTTTTTTTTTCCTTTATTGAGTTTATCAGTACATTTTAGGTATACAGTATAATTACATTCATTATTGGAATCTTGTACCTTTACATGATAGGTCTTGGTTCTCATTTTTTCCCTTGTCCGTCCCCTCCCTTCAGCACCTCCTCCCCTCCCCATTTACAAACACTTTATTTCCATTTTTCATTTTCTCCTATTTTTTTCTTTTCCCTTATTACCCTTCCCCTACCCTTCCCATTTTCCCTACACCTTTCTCTGGTGTGAAAAGCTATAATAGTACATAAGATCCTAATGAGATGATTGTATTGAATCTCTATAGTAGCTTTGGAAGTTTGGCCATTTTCTCTATGTTGATTCTTCCTACATAGGAGCAAGGGCTGACTTTCCATTTTCTGATATCCTTTTCAATTACTTTTTTCAGAGTGCTTTAGTTTTCAGAGTAGAAGTCTTTGATTTCTTTTGTTAGGTTGATTCCTAGGTATTTCACTATTTTGTATGCTATTGTAAAAGGAGTTATTTCACTAGTTCTTCTCTCATTGAGTCTGTTTTTCATGTACAGAAGAGCTATTCATTTTTGTGTGTTAACTTTATATCTGGGTACTTTATTAAATTTGGTTATTAACTCTAGAATACATTTGGTGGAGTTCTTGGGGTTTTCTATATAGGGTATCATGTCATCTGCAAATAATGGCAATTTGACTTCTTCCTTAACTTTTTTATTCCTGTTATATCTTTCTTTTGTCTAATCACTGTGACAAATGTTCCCAAATTTATATTGATCAGGGGTCATGATGATGGACATCTTAGTCTTGTTCCTGACTTTAGCATGAAAGATTTCAGTTTTTGAAGATTTAGAGTGACTTTTGCTGTTGGTTTTGAATAGATAGCTTTTATCAGTTTGAGATAAAGACTGTCTATTCCAGTTATTTGTAGGCTCTTTAACACGAACCGGTGTTGGATTATGTTATACACTTTTCTGTGTCTATTGAAGTGATCGTATGTTTCCTCCCCCGCTTGGCTCTACAAATATAGTGTATTACATTTATTGATTTGCATATGTTGTACCATCATTGCATCCCTAGGATCAATCCCTCTCTGTCAGGGTGTAAGAACTTTTTGATGATCTTCTGCACTCTATTTGCCACTATCTTATTAAGGATTTTTGCATCTATGTTTATCAGTGCAATTGGCCTATAGTTTTGTTTTTTCTGTTGGGTCTTTCTCTGCTTTGGGGATCAAGGTGATTCTTGCTTCCAGGAATGAATTTGGGAGCATTGATTCAAATTCAATTTCCTTGAAGAGTTTAAATACTAGTTACAGAAGTTCTCTAAATGTTTTTTAGAATTCAGCAGTGAAGCAATTAAGATCTGGGCTTTTCTTAATTGGTAAGTTTTAAATTATATTTTCAATTTCATTTATCTATATTGGGTTGTTTCAAAATTTAAGTCATCTTCATTCAACTTTAGTAATTCATACAAACCAAGGTGTCTGTCCATTTCTTCTGTATTTTCCATCTTATTGTCTTAAAGTTTCTCAAAGTATTGATGATCCTCTGGAGTTCTTCTGGATCTGTTTTCATTTCACCATTTTCTTTCCTAATTGCATGGATTTGGTCCTTCTTTTTCTTTTTTTTTTATAAGGTTGGCTAAGGGTTTCTCAATTTTCTTTTTCTTTTGAAGAACCAACTCTTGGCTTTATTGAATTTTTGTATCATTTTTTGTCTTCATTGAATTGATTTCTGCTCTGATCTTTGTAATTTCCTCCCTTGTATAAGCTTTGGGTTTCTCCTGCACTTCGTCTTCTAGAAGCTTAAGATTCAGAATCAGGATGCTTAATTGTGCTCAATTTGTTTTCCAAATATGCATATTAAGTGCTGTGAATTTCTCTTGTAAAACTGCTTTCATTGTGTCCCATAGATTCCGATGTGGTGTATAGTCATTGTCATGTAATTGTGGGAACTCTCTGATATCTTATTTAATATCCTCTGTGACCTTTTGCTTATTCAGAAGTGTGTTGTTCAATTTCCATGTGTTTATGAAATTCTTGTCATTTCCTCTGCTATTAATCTCAAATTTCATCACACTATGGTCTGATAATATACAAGGGATAATTTCAATTCCTTTGCTCTAACTTAGACATGTTCTATTAGTGAGTATGTGGTCTACTTTGGAGAATGACCCATGTGCATCTGAAAAGAAAGTGTATTCTAATTTTGTGTGGGGTGGAGCACTCTGTAAACATCTGTTAATTTCATTTCTTCAAGAG